GGGGCTTTTTTGCATAAAAAACGTCATTTTTCGACCCCCATTTGATCCCCCGGGGCAAAATCAAAATTCCGAAACCTTACTGCACATCTACGTGACACCACCAACCATCTCCCAAAAGATGATTAGGCTGCTGAGTAAAATGTAGAAGGAGTTCAGGGAAGACGGGGCTTTTAGCATAAAAAAACGTCATTTTTCGACCCCCATTTGATCCCTTGGGGCAAAATCAAAATTCCGAAACCTTACTGCACATCTACATGACACCCCCAACCATCTCCCAAAAGATGATTAAGCTACTGTGAAAAATGTAGGAGGAGTTCAGGGAAGAAAAGTGTGACAGACGGACGGACGGACGGACATGAGTAACAACAATATACCCGAACTTTCTTTAGAAAGTGCGGGTATAATAAAAAAAATATAAGATATCCCTCATTGTAACAATTTTGATTCAGAATTCAGAGTACATCCCTCTACATGAGAAGGATGACAAGGAGATTCCTTATCTACCACTGGTTGGCAATATAACAACCATCACTTCCTTCCTGTTCCTGTGCTTACTGGGGCCCGCCACAGGGTTACTGTATGATATATGGGTAAGTCCCACAGTTTGTACCAATTATCAGTCCTGTTTAAATAATCTCTAATTCTAGTTCATGCAGCATGTTAATGGTCATAGTTTATTCCCAGAACTGTTTTTTTTTTGGCAAGAATTTTACTTCATTTTTTTCTACAAGTGAATTAATATCTAGTATTGTTGCTGATTGCTTTATTTTTTTCTACAATTAGAACTTAACCTGTAGTTTTGTCCCTTTATTCAGTAACTTAAAAAGTAATGATGTTATGGATATGCACTATTCTATCAATTGCTTGTAATGGATAAAAGTACAGTAAATCATATCTTGTTCCAGATATTCTGATATTCTGTGAATGAATTTTTAATTGAATTCAATTTTTTTTTATATATCAAAAGCAATATTTTATGATAATTACTCCTATTTATAATCCATCTTTTTCAGTGCTGTGGAGCAAGTGTGGTTCTAATATGTTTACAAAAAGACATGAAAATCATTCACAACCTCAAAGACAGCAACCAAACAACACCAACGAAAATCATGTCAATAGCTGTTTTAATTCTGTCTTCAACATGTCGCAGTGATGTCTGGCATTCAAACTCATGGACATTTGTGAGATCCTTCTTAGAAATTCTTTTAATTCTTGGCAGCACTCCTATTTATTATGTGCTGTGGGGCATCTTATGGAAATCTGTTGTGTTGCTACCAGAACCAGTGGTTGTGTTTTTGTTGCCGCTAAATGCTGCTATGTTGCTCTATGGCAGCAGTTGGACTTGCTGGGTTTTAGCTTTTGTAGGCATTAGCTCTTCTGTGTGGATGATGTCAAACCACTTTAAGTTAATACCATACTCAGAGAAAAGATAATGATACATCAAAATATAGACACCATGACGCTGTAAGTTTAGTGCTTTATTAATTTTTGTATCTGATACAAATATTTTGTTTTTTACATTAGTATACATGTACTGACAACCAGATGTCAATAAACTTTTCCATAAGTTTGCTTTTGACGTTTTAATACAACAGTTGAATATTAATGTATTGAATTCAGAAACCTGAATACCTGAGGTGTTAATTTATTTAAGGTTTTATTGACTGTTCGTGAATTTTGTAAACTTATGACAGCATAGTAGTATCTCCATTCTCTTAAACAGTGTCGAAATGATAAAGGCATCAAAGCTCGAAAATTGTTAGATATATTGCCATACTATGAAATGAATAAAGATTCAAAGACAATGTCATCAAATATTTTACATGTAATGAAAGTTCTTTACAATAAAGAAGTTTATATGGATTAACTACATGTATGATCAGATTTAATATGGCAAAAAAGCGGAAATATGTATTACCAAGGACTGTGGGAAATGGTCTGTTAGTTCCTGGGAATTACTTGTATTACTTGCAGAATAATTATAATCTTTTTCTGTTTCAGATTTCATGTTTGTTGTTTAAGTCAAGAAATAAATTTTAAAAGTATAAAATATATTGCTTCGAAGTCAATGTTCCAACTATTTGCAATTCTAACTCTTTCCATTTGGTAAGAAGATATCAATTTTATTCCACTATCATTCAGTGAAAAAGAGAAAGTAGTTATTATAATAAGTAAATATTGCTCAAAATGTCAGTTTGGGATCAAAAGGATCTTAATGTTTAACAATGCAAACTTTTACACTTGACACTTTCACAGTCCCTTCACCAGTTCCCATCCACAGTGCAGACTTGTACAGTGATAACGTCATTGGATATGTTGCTTCTTTTTCTGTCAATAAGAATTTCAAAAATTCCACATCCGGACTCAACAAATGGATAACACTGTTAAAGGGATTGGTGACAAGAATGTTACAGGTTGAGTCACACACCAAGTCTGTTGGTTCCCATCAGGTTCTGCCCACGATAGACAGATCGCAAACGACCAGAGACAGAGATAATTACAACCTCACCCAAATCGTCACTTGTAGTGTTCACAACACATATCTTTACATTTTGTATCAGATTGAATAAAATGTTTTTTTTCAAAAAATTGGAAATGTTTGAATTTGAATCTCCCAGTACATGTATTTCTCAGTTTAGAGAACATTTGGAGTATTTAATGGGACGGGAATTACTTGTATTTACATCTGGAAATTCCAACCACTGAGATTTCCTGAACGACCCTGTTAAATCTAATAAAAAAAAACTCACTAAATAAATTGAAAAATCCACCTTAGTTTTTTTTTTTTTGTTACCAGACAAGCTACATACTGACTTTAAGTTTTTTCACTAAATGATCATAAAATAATTAAGCAAAAGTGCAGACGCAATTGAACAAAATCATTCAGTTTTAGTATTTTTCAAACTTGTAAATATATTCCGGTTATGTATACAGAAATGAAAATGTACATGTACATATCTATTAACCTAACATATTGATGCATAAATCAACCTTTTTCCAATGTATACACAATTTGAAATACATTAAGGACATCAATGATCTTGTTTATAAACATAATTTCACAAATCCTATGCTTGATACATATGACCTTATCAGCAAAAAATGTCTAGTCTTAAAGTTAAATATTCTATAACGTTTATAAAAACCCTAACCTGTGAGGCCATTATTTACACACTGAATTGCTCACTTATTTTTAGTTCGCTGTCAGGGAGCTTAATCGGTACACGGAAGGTATGATCCTCCATGGCACCTGATCCCACCTCTGATGTTTTAGAGGTCCTTGTTTGTAATGCTCCTGATTTGATTTTTTAAAATATAATTTGAATTTGATTACTGTACATTTATTTCATAATATCATTCCAACATTTATACTATTTTAATAATAAAAAGACAGTACTGTAAAATCACATATTTTCGAGAGGTCAAAGTTTCAAGGTTTCAAGAAAAAATTGTTTGTTTGGATTTAATTTCGTGGTTTCAATAATGTATAGTAGTAATGCATATCACATTTAACACTTTGTGGTGGTTTTAAATTCATGGGTTTCTCCATACCTCGAAAACAGCGAAAAATATATCTGCACGAACATTAGTGATTTCACAGTAACTTTGAAATAAGATACACAGATATTAAATATAATCAGTTTTGGGTAATATGAATATCAAACTTTACTCCAATCCCTCACTAGCACTATTTTAACAAGAGGCCCAGGGGCCACAGCGCTCACCTGAGCACATCGGCCAGGAAAAAGCACATATTAGATCAGAACTGAAAGTTTACCGAGGTTGGGGTGGGTTGGGGGGGGGGTGGGCTTGAATTTTAATCCCCAGGGGGTCATGACTTGAACAAACTAGAAGCTACAGTACCTGAGGATGCTTCCATATAAATATTACTAATCATGGCTTTGAAGTACTCGAAAAGGAGATCTTAAAATGTTTCCCTATATATTCCTATTTAAAACTTTGGTCTGCCACTTTGGCACCACTCCAGCCCCGGGGTTCATGATTTGAACAAACTTGAATCAACACTTCCTGAGGATAATTTCACATGAGTTTCATCTTTCTTCTCTCAATGGTTCTTGAGGAGAAGATTTTTAAAGATTTTACCCATATATTCCTATGCAAAAATTTGATCGGCAATATCGGCCCCACCCTACCCACAGGGGTCATAATTGAAAAAACTTGAATCCACACTACCTGAGGATGATTCCACATGAGTTTCATCTTTCTTGGCACAGTGGTTTTGGAGAAGAAGAATTTTAAAGATTTTTCCTATATATTCCTATGTAAAACTTTGATCGGCCATTTTGGCCCCACCCTACCCCCGGGGGTCATGGTTTGAACAAAATGGAATCTACACTATCTGAGGATGATTTTACGGGAGTTTCATCTTTCCTGGTCCAGTGGTTCTTGAGAAGAAGATTTTTTAAAGAATTCTCCTATATATTCCTATGTAAAACTTTGGTCGGCCGTTATGGCCCCACCCTAGCACCCGGGGTTCATGATTTCAACAAATTTGAATCTACACAACCTGAGGATAATTTCACATGAGTTCCATCTTTCCTGTCTCAATTATTTCTTGAGAAGAAGAATTTTTTAAAGATTTTTCCTATACAAAAATTCGGTCGGCCATTTTGGCCCCCACCCTGCCCCCGGGGGTCATGATTTGAACAAATCTACACTACCTGACGATGATTCCGAATGAGTTTAATTTTTCCTGGATCACTGGTTCTTGAGAAGAAGATTTTTAAAGATTTTTCCTATATATTCCTATGTAAAACTTTGATCAGCCATTTTGGCCCTACCGTACCCCCGGGGGTCATGATTTGAACAAACTTGAAGCTACACTACCTGAGGGTGATTCCACATGAGTTTCATCTTTCCTGGCCCAGTGGTTCTTGAGAAGATTTTTTTTTAAATGCCATTAATTTTTCTCTAATTCATAATTATCTCCCCTTAGAAAAGGGTGTGACCCTTCATTTGAACAAGGATCTTAAAAAATATCACGGCAAACTTTTATAATCAAACACTTTCACAATCTCTTCATCAGTTCCCACCCACAATGCAGACTTGTAGAGAGATAATGCCACTGGTCCTGCTATTTCTTTTTCTTTCAACAAGAATTTCAAAAACTCTCCTTCCGGACTCAAGAGATGGACAAGACTATTGGCTGGATCAGTAATAAGAATGTTACATGTGGAGTCACATGCCAAGTCTAGTGGAAAGAAGTTCTCCTTCAGGTTCTGTCCACGATAGACATATCTCAGGTGACCAGAGAAAGATACTATCACAAGCTCACCTGTATCGTCGCTTGTCATGTTTAAAACACAAATATCAGTGTTATTGTTCTGACAAAGTCTGAATGGACCTGTAAACAGTTTGGTTTGACCATCCTCCTGGTACTCATACTCGTGAATGATATCACCGGTCAATGTCATGTGTTTCACCAAACGTCGAAAGAGGTCTGATTCTGATGCATCAACATCCCTTCTAGAATCTGTAAAAGAAACAAGAAGCCCACCGTCCACTGAATTAGAAATACCTACAGGTTTTACATCTAATGCATCTGTACTTAAAATACTTATTGTCGATATGGATCCTGATGGCGAAAGGCAACGAATGGAACTGCCCCCCTTAGTTGTGAAACAAATACCATTATTAATTACACACATATCTTTCACATTTAACCCAATATCGAGTGTTTGTTTCTTTTTGCTTTGTATATTTACCAAATCAACGTCATCAGATTCCATATCGCACACGTAACATTCGTTTTCATTTAATGTCTCCAAATACAAAAGTACATCTTCACTACATGTTACATATTGAAATGAATTTGTTTCAGTGGCACCAATATTATCTAAATCAAAACAATCACCAAACAGTGATTCCAGGATATCATCATCAATGACTTTTTCTTTATATCTGACTGAATAGTCACAGTTCCCCATATCTATGTCTAAAGCTAACAGGTGTTTCAGGTCTCTTTGGTTCTCTATTAAATTCTTATCAGACATATTCCGGTTGTTCTCCTCCATGTATTTCATTATTTCAATTATTTGTTTCCCTTTCTTGTCTATTCGAGATTTCCAAATAGTTATCTGTTCGTTTTTCCTATGCAGATTGCTTTTCAATGCTTCATCCTTTCGGTCCCTTATATCTGTAAGCTTGGCTATGATTTCATTAAAATGCTTCTTTAATCTTTTCCTTTGGAATTCACACATTATTTCATTTTCAGCCTTCATTTTTGCACTTTTTTCATCAACGTCTTGCAATTGCTCTTCTTTTATATTCCTTAAAAACTCTGCCTGGCTGCCACACCCATTGTGACCCTGTTATGTCCACTATGGCCTGTGTTTGCACATGTAGAACAAATGAATTCATCACAGTCCTCACACACCAAATCGATAAGTAAATCATGATTTTTGCACATTTGTATATGTTCCTGAGGAGAATCTACTGCATGGGTATTTTAATTTACTGGCCGCCATTTTGTTTAAAACTTCTTCTGTCGGTGACATTCAGGAAAGATTAATATATAGACTTTAAAGATAAAAAAGGCATTTATCTCTGTAAACTACATTGACAGTCAAAAGATAAGACATGTTTTTTTTGTTCAGAAAGTAAAACTAATGTGATTTTGTTTATTTTATCTGTCTGAAAGAAGTTTGATATACATGGTATAAATGATTCTTTTTTAAAAATATAGAACTGCCAAAGAGACAAACGTAATCAAATCATAAAATGTACCAAAATAACACTCGCGATAAGAACTTTTCAAAGAAATGTTGTTCGGTTTTGCACTTGTCCTGTACATTGTATTACACACGTGTAAGGGGGATTGCTATCTAGGAAGTGCAAATTGATACTAAATGTTTTTTTTAGACTTATTCCCATAGAGATCTAACATGTTTAGCCCATTTATAAAACATGCCATGTTCAATATGGATATTTTTACTCTCTTTTTAATAAAGCAATGGGCATATATCCCAACAATATCAAAACAATCTGATCACAACAATTTGATTCTCGATTTATAGAAAATACTTTTGAAAAAACGCAATCATTTTCACAACTTAATATCTTTTCAAATCTCATAAAAATATTTGATAAATCTAGATCTCTGTCTTCGTTATTTTAGTACCGGTATGATGTTTTAAACTTTAAAATGTTCGATTAAATATTACAAAATATATCAGTGGCCGAAAAAGGCAAATGGTAAAGTACATATGCGTATACGTTGCGTGCGTTCTAAAAACTTGACAGCTGTATGACTGGTAAATGATACAATTTCTATCAAGATTTTTGTTTCTTTTATCAATATAAATTATAATTTTCATAATTTTAGACGTGCATATCTTGGATCCTAGGATTGTAACATACATGATTTTCCCTAATTGAAATATAATGTTTGTTAATAAAAAGGAAATAGAATTTCTATTTTTATTTTTTTTATTTTTTGATGTTATACAAGTATGCTTATAATGTGTTTACAAAAAGACATGAAAATCTTCCACAACTCTAAGGACAGCAACAAAACAACACCAACGAAAATCATTTCAATAGCTGTTTTACTTCTGTCTTCACTTTGTCGCAGTGATGTCCGGCATTCAAATTCGTGGACATTTGTGAGATCTTTCTTAGAAATTCTGCTAATTCTGGGCAGCATTCTTAATCATAACATGCGATGGGGCATCTTATGAAAAATCTGTTGTATTGTTACCAGTACCAGTGGTTGTGTTTTTATTGTCGGTGGATGTTGCTATTTTGCTTTATGGCGGTAGCTGGACGTGCATGCTGGTTGTTAGCCTTTGTTGGCATTAGCTCTTCTGTGTGGTTGATGTAAAACCACATTTTATTACTACCATACCAAAAGAAAAGATATGCATTACTGTAAAATCATCATGTATAATTTCGTGAAGTCATTTTTAAAAGGTTTTAGAAAGAAATATTCTATTTATTTCAAAAAAATATTTTAATCACAGATGTTAAGGTGAATAGGCAATGCCTATTTTAGGCCTCTCCCTACATTAAGGTCAAGGGAAGTACTTGTAAACAATAAATAAGAAAAAGAAAAGAATGTACAAAAAATGATGAAAATAACAGAAAAATAACGAATTACAGAAAATATTGAAAATAAAAAAAAGTACAAAAGAGAAAAAATAAAAATGAACAAAGTAACAGGAAAAGAAGCAAATTACAGAATGAAATATTGGTTTGTGGTGAATCTATTTCATGTTGGAGAAATATTGATCATGCATAAGAAGAAATGCATACGAAAATTAGTTATTTCACAGTACATCAAAATATAGAAACCATTAGGGTGGGGGTGGGCCCTTAAGAGTGTTTTTTTTATTCAGAGATTACATCTCCATTGCCATGATCATTATCTATTATAACATATCTAACGATGAAAGGTCCGATGCAGAATGGAAATGAGTATGCTCACATGTTCAACAGATGTTTAAAAGATTCCATCGCCAGTCATTATCTTCTTTAATGGTCTTTATTTTTTACAGTTTCATTACTGAAAATTAATATTACTTTGACGATTGAAAATTGAATTGTTTACCCATTCAGCTGTACCACAAATTTTTCATGTTAAAAGGAATTTGGATTCTTGTCATTTGAGGAATTTTGCTCATTTCCAATTCCGGAAGGGAACACTGATAAATAAAGGTAATGAGGTATACTTGGTAAAGTGTACTTTATGCATGACTATTCAGTACTTTTCCATGGTAAAAAACTGGTAGAAAGCTGGACGTGGACAAAAAGTCTTCGCAGGTGTATATTTTTTTAAGCTCATGCTCCTTCACATTCCCAATCAGTATTATGAGCTTGTACAGATTGGAAACCAGTAGTTTTATAAACACTCGATACACCGCGATACAAAATACTACTGTGTATGGTTGTACTGAAACACTTTTACGCGCCCATTAAAATCTCCAATCCACAGTGTAGATTTATGTAGCGAAATGGCAGATGGACGAGTCACTTCTCTTTCTGTCAGTAGATACTTCATGAACTCCCCGTCAGGACTCAGTAAATGGATAGTGTGGTTTGCTGGGTCAGTAACAAGAATGTTTGAATGGATGTCGCATTCTATGTTAAATGGACAAAATCTTCCTATCAAATCCTGTCCATGGTATACAGTCTTCAGATGACCAGAAGGTGTCACAATCACAATTTCACCTGTTGTGTCGCTTGTAAGGTTCACAACACAAATATCAGTGTTCCTATTTTGCAAGACTCTGATAGGCCATGTAAAGAGCCTCGTTTGAGTTCCTTTCTGAAATTCAAACTCATCAGCTCCAGTTAATGTAATTTTTTTTACAAGACGTCTGCTGCAATTGTTTAATTGAAAGACAGGGGATTCATTGTCTCTTAATGTGACGAAAAGTCCACCGTCCACTGATCGACATATCCCGTCCGGTATCAATGGCGTTGTACTAAATATTGTAGAGATATATCCAGATGGAAATAGACGACAAATAGAATTTTTTTCATTATCGGTTATATAAACGTTACCATTATCAGTAACACAAACACCCGCAGGACAGATTTTGATTTGCCGCTTTAGCTTTCCTTGTTTGTTGACTTCATCAATGCAATCTGTTTGAATATATTTTATATAATATTCATCTTCGCAATATGCCTGCAAAAAAGCAATTCCATCTTCCACATATTTGAATGAGCTTGTTTCAGCATGACAAATGTCATCTAATTCTACTATACGTCCAATCATATTCTCCAGCATATCCTCCTCGAATTCCCCTCTAATGTACCTTGCTGTATTTCCACAATTATTAAAGTATCTGTTCATTTCACATAATAACTCTTCTAGTTGTCTGTGACTTTCAATCAGGCTGAAATCAGAAATGGTACTATTGTTTTCCACCATGAAATCCACAATGTCAATTATAGATTTCCTTATCTTTTCTAAATTATGTTTTGCATTCTTTATCGTTTCATTCGTTTTCCTTAGATTGTCTTTCAGTACATCTTTTTGATTTTTCTTGATATCTATTAGTTTGAGTATTGTATCATCATAATGCCTTTGTAAGTCTTTTACCTGAGTATCACACATACCCTCATTTTCTTCCATCTGTGACACCATCTTCTGTATCTCTTTATCAAGCTTTGATATTTTTTCTTTCTTTATATTAACAAGATGTTCATGGATTCCTCTTCTTCTTTGTAAAGCTGCCGTGGCTTGGGTTACCCAGTTGTGACCATTATGATTTAATCTTGCACAGATAGAACAAATAAATGCATAACATTCCTCGCACAGAATGTCAATGATTGAATCATGCTCCTCACAAATCTTTACATGCTGTAATGGAGAACCCAACGGATATTTTGTTTCACCATCCGCCATTTTATTGGCACCGTGTAATTCATGGACTGGAGTCTTGGAGTGGAGTTATGGAGTGGAGTTTGGAGTGGAGTTTGGAGTCTATTTTTGGAGTCTGAGATTTTCATAATTATGCAGATTTTTTTTTCAGAAATGGCTTTTGTATGATTGTCTTTAATATTCTAAAATAATCTATTGGCAAGATAAACCTCTAATTTAATAAATGTTTGGTACATTTGTATATATACATTGTAAGTATGTTGAACATCATTATTGAACTAATAACCACCTAAATCAAAATTAATTGATAACTTCCTACAACTATTAACCTAAATAAAACTGATTGGTAATGTGGTCAGAGAGCTAATAATTCTAACAAACTAATGTAATTTAAAATATTATAGAACAACAGAGTCAGCTGGGGGTCTTGTCACCGCATGTCAGTAAAAAAAATAAGTCGATTAAAACAAGGTATTTTTTTCAGTTAATTATACCCCTCTTAGAAACCAACTGTCTGTACCTCAGTCCGTCTGTTACGCTTTGTTGTACCCTCAGAGAACCTTTATTATATATTGCCAAATGTGTGCCTCCCTATTTTACTTCTTGATCCGACACATATTTTGGGTTTCCCATTTCAAAACATGGACACTGCCATTATATTCAAATGTAAGGCAGGGGTATCATTTATATCTTGAATAAACAAAAAGAAAAATGAAAAGAGGGTGCAGTGTGTTCCGCTTAAATGATTTTTGATGGTTGTAAGGCACTTGTATCCCTTATGCAATACTCTCAGAATGTTTAGGGTATTATTTTATAAGAACTACATAAAAACGATAGATCTGAGGTTATTATGTATGTGTACAAATTTGCAAAAATCAAACAACCTTGTAACAGTTAACTAACCTACATATACAGCTGTGTGGTCCAAATCCTGTAAAAGTTTCAACAGATATAACAGAGATGTGACAGAAAGATATAATTTAGATTTGGGGTTTTTATCACCTTCCAATTATGAACTGAAAGCAATAGGTTTAGGTTTCATAATTAATATATAACAGTTAAATTTAATTGAACAGGATATACTGTCACTGTTTTAGGTAACATAATTAACAATGAAAGATCTTTCAGTTACATATTCTCATAGAATTGTTATTCTAGGTGTTACACTCAAAAATTGAACCTAATCATACGATTTCAAAAATTTATTTCATGCATGTAACATTGACAAGAATTGAACGAAGACTTAATAAAATTTCACTTACAAAGAATTATAAATATGAAATCTATGACTAATTGGAATTTACAGAAAGTTACACAGTTCCCACGGACAGGATGTGAATGAAGCTAAAATATACATAAATCAAGATAACGTAACCAGCTTTATAATTACATTGAAACAAAAGTCACAAGAGTCCCTACACTGGAAGAGTTGTACCAATTAAAATATCAAATTGATAGGTGAACTGTCAAATTCGTTTACCGGTACCCCCATCTGGTTGATAAACTCAAAATGCTGAGTTAGAGAGAATAAAGGGAAAATGATATCTATATAGATAATTAACAGAATTTTTACTCTTGAGACTAAGTGAAAGGTCAGGCTTGTTCACACAGTTTCAGAGATGCTGATTAAAATGTGGCGAATGACCGTTTAATTTTAGTCTATGTAATGTCAGGATACCTTAATCCAAATAAGCTGGGGGGACACAGAGGGGTAATTAATATTAATGCAAGCAATACAAATGAATATTTTTTTAAATAAAAAATAAAACCTAAATGAACCCCCAAAAAGAGAGCATACATATATGAGAGGTAACCGGTAGAGTGCTTGTTCACAGTCAAAATTATTGTGTGCTTGTTAGCTAAAAACAATCCTTGAATTGTTAATTCTCTAATTTCGAAAATGTCTAAGAAGATATTTCTGAAGAAAACATATGCTGAGGCTGTTAAAGGTAAGAACATAATATGTCTAATTTGCTTTTTTTTTAAACTTGATAATTTTTAACTATACATGTACAGAAATATCATTGACTAAGTTGTGATAAGTAAAAAAAACTTTGTTTAACTTTTGGATGATTTAAAATGTGAAAAATTAAAGTTTTCTAAACATTTGCTTTATAACGCTAAATTGAAATTGAATAGGTGATGAAAAGTCGGACATTGAAGAAGGTGTTCCAGGAGAAAGTGTTATAAAGCCACAACTGACTGGATTTCCTTACCACAAATTGTCACCTGCAAAGACCAGCCAGCCATGCCAAAACGGAGGAAAGCTGAAGCTTCAGAGGAGAAAAAGGGTTCCAAGAGAAATTGTCCGAAAGGTAAAACCAGTTGTATGGACAATTTCTTCCGACTCAGATACTTCATCTACCGGTACTCCCAAGAAGAGAGGGAAAAAAATATCTGCAGTTGTATCACCCTATAAAGGAGCCAATAATTCACCCGCAACTTCCCCACTGCCTGCTTTATCACCAATCAAGAAAGGAGAAGAGGAAGCCCAAGAAAATGATTTTGTAACTTCTCCCATCGTTATAAGTGATAAGAGTGAAGATGAGAAAAATTCAAATGTGCCATCACCTGTGCGAAGACAGCTCTTCAAAAGAAAATATATTAGGTCAGATTCGAGTGACAGTTTGCCCGATATTGACAGTGTAGATTACATTCCAGAGAAACTTTCAAAATGTCATGATGAATTTGTAGAGTATTATGAAAACAATCCACTTTTACCAATTTATAAGTCACTGAACAATGGAATTACAACTAAAGAGGCTGTTGAAATTCTTCTTAAAAAACTAAGACCGAACCAATTAACGAGAACCATTCCAACAGACATAAATAGAAATGCTGTATTTGTTTACAGCATTAATTCCATTGGGCATTGGAAAAATGCCCTTTGTGATGGAATGGGATGTTGGATACAGAATGGAAAAACCACAAATCAGGTGAGAGTAGGGAATGATGGAATTCTTGTAACATCAAATCAGCATGAAAATTCAGAGAAATTGAGAGTCATAAGAAGAAAGTATACAAACAAATCCTATCCAAAACTTCATAGAAATGTTATTCAATTACAAGACTCCGACAGTGATTCAATATTAGGTCAAATGCTTGTCCAGTATTATTTTGATGGAAAGGAAGTTTCTGTAACCGTTGCAGCCCATGGAAACAGCAATGAAACATCAACCTCGAAATATCGAAGAACATTTGAGAGCACAAAAAGTCGAATCAAAGAGCTCTGTTCATTCAACAAACCGAAGGATATATTCCACACTCTCATAGAAGATGAAGGGGGGCTGATCGAAATTAAAAGTGGATCACAAATACCTAGAGACAGACAGCAGATACGAAATTTTAATAGAAAGAGTCCACCAACACCAGATCCTGTCATTGAATGCTTGGATTTAGCAAAGAGACAGGAGAAAACTGACGGCAGATTTTTAAGAGAGGTGAGAGCATCACCTGAATTTACAATGTTTATGTCAACTGATCGACAATTGACAGAAATAGAAAAATTCTGTACCAATAAGGCCAATTTGTCTGTTCTTGGAATTGATACAACATTTAATATTGGTGAATACTATGTCTCAATAACCACCTACAGAAACCTAATGTTGACAAACTCTTTTGGGGTAGAACCAGTTATGATAGGACCAATGCTATTACACCAAGGAAAATCATTTGATAGCTACTTCAAGTTATCTTCATCCTTATTACAAAACTCTCCAAATCTGAAAAATCTTCAAGTTTTTGGAACAGACGGTGATGTAAATTTGTCAAATGCATTTGAGGTTTGTTTTCCATCTAGCACACATCTACTTTGTGATATCCATATGGTTGACAATATAGAGAGAAAATTGAATAAACTAAACATCAGAGGAAATCTATCTAGACAGTACATTCAAGATATATTTGGGCGTGTGCATAAAGACACCAAGATAAAAGGGCTGGTGGATTATTCAAATGAAACGGAAATGAATCGTACACTTGAACAGTTAAAGAAGGAATGGATTTCACGACACGAAAATGGGAAAGACTTTTTACAATACTTCCTTGAGCACAAACTTGAGCTTATAAAAAACTGTATGAGTGCAGAGGTAAGATCAAGATGTGGACTCGGCTTTCCTCCTAAACCTTACACTCAGAATGGGAATGAATGTATTAATGCTGTTTTAAAAGCTGACATTTTCAGCAAAAATAAAGAAAAAGAAAAAAAATTAGACCCGTATGATTTTGTCAAACTGGCAGAAAAGTGTGTAAGGCGACAAGAACAGGAAGTCAAACTTGCACTGATTGGAAAAGGGGAATATAAGTTAAAAGCGGAATACAGACACCTGTTGACAGATGAAAATGCGTTTTGGAAAAAGTCGGCACAGCAGAGAGAAGCACTTTTTAAACGGTATGTACTATGGTCACATATCTACAAACACTGATTTTTTTCAAAAAAATATATTGTTAATTCAAATTTATTAATTGTAATAACTCCTAAAATTGACAATTATATCAAATAATTTGACTTTGAGAAAACGGGAATTAATTCTATAAAGTTAGCTAAAGGAAATCTTAATCTAGATTGAGTTTTTAATTAAATTTATCATGAGTAGAAAATATAGAATTATATCCGTGTTATTGAAAATGTTTTTTAATACAATAATTTTATACATGTATTCTGGAGCAACACCTTTCTTATCACACTGTGTTCTGTGAAATTTACTGATTTTTTGTATATATAGGTTCCAAGATGAACCTCTTAAAGAAGAAGAGGAAGAAGAGAGAGATAACATTCCAAGCTGGTTTTCTCAATCTGAGTCCACCAACTGCATACCTGGCCTTCCTTCTCGGATCTCTGAAGATATTATTCAGGAAGCTGATAAGTTGATTACAACAAAACACAGCATTGTTCCTTTGCCTGGTGATACAGAAGGAAAAACATACCTTGTTGCAAATAACGAAAAATCATCTGAACCTTTTAAATTAAAATTCTCTCCGAATTCTGCAGCAGTATCTTGTGAAAAGAGGTGTTCTAGATGGAG